TAGGGGGTGATGCATTGAATGGATGATTCATTTGTGTGCAATTTGTAAATGGAAATATTAACCAGAACTAATTGCTTTTTTAAGGATATGAAACTTAATATAGGTGTGGATGAGTTGTCTTCAAAAGTGAGAAGGTTTTGGACATTGTTTTAATTGCCTCATTGTTGACTACCTTGCAAAGAAGATAAAAGAAGAAGAAGAAGAAGTTAAACCCTAAAAATAAAATGTGTAGATATTGGCTTGGGCTTCCATTGCTTCACTTTATGATATAGAATGAGGCCTAATAATTGGGAGCATGGTGATAATTGACTCTCTGCAAATAGCAAGCATTGTTTGGAAGTCAAGATGGATTGCATACAATTGGGATTTATTTAACTATCTGATTTGTCTTTATCAAGGTTTATTTCTAGTTCATTGACTTGGAGTTTACTTTCCTGTTTGTACGATAGGCTTTTGTTGCAGAGACATGATTTGTGACTTAAAGAAGGGGCACATTTGAATGATATCATAGATAAATAAGCCCCACCTTGTGAATGTTAAAAGATGTAAGTCTTTGTGTATACATTAATTCAATGTGTATATATATATATATATATTGAAAAAAAGAAGAAAACAATATTCATGTTGTTCTTCTTAGAGCTCATTTTATGGTTTCAAAATTGATGGTATTGGATTAGTATTGAAGCATTTGGGCATCCCTTATTTCTCATTGTGATGTGTACAATCTTGTTTTTCCTAAAAGACAAATATATTGTTCATTACATATCTTTTCTATATATATATATATATATATATCTATTTGTATTCATAAAAAGTATAAAAAGTGATAGTCAAATAAGGTTATTACCAAATTCTTGAAGAAGTTATTATCTCATGGTTTAGTTTTAGTTTAAAGAAGTAAAAAAGAATAATAAAGAAAGAATAATAGAATGTGAATTAGTCACATAAAATTGTCTCAACTGTAAGTTTTGTGATCCAATGTCATGTGCATTGTAAAACTGGATGTGACTAAAACTTAAAGAAAGTAAATAAATATTAAAAATGTGGATAAGAATGGATGCATTAATGTATTCAGATAATAACTTGACTTACTAAATTGCAATTACACCACAAACATTCCTCATTGATTTTTTTTAGTAATAGAGTTAAGAGAAAAGAAAAAATGAATCGAAAATCAAATTTCAAGTCAATTCTTACATAGTCTTATATACATACTTATTTAAATGTTTAGTTTATTAATGAAAATTTGGTGACTTTCAGACTCAAACATGGGAGCACAGCTAACCTTTTGTTCCTTTCATGTTGGATCTTTGAGAAGAAATTCAAGTTGTCTTACTCATTAGTAAAATTAATTTTGTATAGTTCTATTTTATATTAATTTTTAATAGATCAAATTGAAAAAAATTTGCCAAATTCCCTTGCCCATATATACCATGCAAGGTTGTCTTAAATTCTACCATTTACATGGCAAAACTAGCCAGCTCATCTCAATGAGTGTGATATAATTAATGATGCTAAATCATACAATAGGTGTAACTTCCAAAAGACGATGTACAAATCAAGGAAAAATATATGACAAAATCTCAATAATAACTAGTGTTTCATAATTGAACTGATTGATGTAAAAAAAAAATCATAATGTGAACAGATTGGAATAGAAAATGTGTTGGTTTATTAACCTCCAAATATTGAGACTTTCATAATCATATGAATGATTAATTTATTCATGCTTGTAATGTACCCTCTAAGATGTGCATGATGTTGCAATTATCAGGATCAAACAGTCTTGGCGACAATTATGCTTTAATTGAATTTTTCAACATTTAAAAAACATGTATATTTCAAAAATAAGTACATGTGATGTTAGTTATTTCTATTTTTACGGATACTTCTTTTATCTTTTTCAAAATCTAGAAACAAAAACCCATTCTGAAGACAATTCATCCACATATATATATTACGTTTCATGTCCTTAATAAAGCAATTAGCTCTGACTAAATATTTCCATTTACAAATTGCACACAATTGGATCAATACCTAAAACAATTCTAACAAAGGGCCAGGGAAGAGTTCGAGCCAACAACACTCTCCTTATCATTTCATTAAATTAAGGAGGCTAGTAATGGCAAAGCCGTAGACGGTTGAAGAATGAATGAACCATAACTTTCATTCATCTCCACATGCAATTTCATCCATAAATGCCCTGCTAAAGACAGAATCCCATTCACACCACTGCTAAAATCCTGGATTCTATTATCCCCTGCGCCACTTGGGATCCATGCTGTCTTCCCCAACCCATTATTATAACCAACCTATTAACTTTATTTATTATTCTTTTGCTCCCCATGAAAAAATATACTAAAATCATCTGTTCCGGAGAGAGAAAGTAAAGCGTGATTCAAGTTGTCGGATAAGGTTCGCCACGTCATAATAATGAGTTTTATTTATTTATTTATTTATTTATGATTGTTTAATATTTTCACACTCCATGGCCTTAAGCAAATTTGTCTGTCCAAATATAGACCCTGATCATGATAACATTTCCAAAGGAGCTTTGGATTCTTCCTCTCTTGCTTCGGGTTTTAGTATTTCCAATAGTGACATGACCAATCACCATTGCCGTTGAATAGTGGTTCGTTTATTGGGTCAGAGGGAGAGAAAAGGAAAGATTGGGATCGGTCACGGTTATAGGGTTTGGACCTTCGAGCGTGATCGGGGGCTAACGGGGATCCTCTTTCGCCAATCACGGATGAGAATGAAAGCAGCGGCAAAGGCTGGACGCGTGGCGCGCTCTGAGTGGAGGGGAAAAGTTTTTTTGTTTTCGGAAGTGAGGTTGATTGGGGGAAAAGCGATGATGGATGGATGAATAGTTCGGTGAAGGGTAGAGTGTAGACCTTGAAGGACCCGATTCACAACCATAATAACACCATGGGTTTACATTAATTGGAGAACGACATTTTGGAAGTTGTTGTTTCGGGAGTACTATTGAAGGTTACCTTGAAATAACAATATAATCCATACAGTTGTTTGTTTGTTTGTTTGTTTGTTTTTATGTTTTTTTCTCTCACACTTCTAATCCCCTTGTCCCACACTTATCCTGTATCCAGAATTTCTGTATCTCCAAGTGGAGATTTTAGGTTATCCATTTATGCAGTGAAGTAAGGTACAATAGTGGCAGTAAGTATAATTTTGAAAAGCAAGTAATTGATTTTTTTTATTATTGTTGTGGCTCAATTTGAACTGTTAAAAAAAGATGTTTTTAAACCTGTCAAACTTGTGGAGATGGATAAAATTTTCAAGCAAATATTGGGTTATGGTACTCCATGTGAGATTAGTTTACCTTGATTTGTTTTTCTATTTGTTGAAGGCATATGCAGACACATGGTCATGTTGCCCCTTACTATGAAGTTGGCCCCTTATTTTGTAAACTTTCAGGAGCACATCCTCGATAAGGCAGCCTTTGCCCATCTTTGTTATCTATTGAAAGGAATAGTATCACCAAACCATTCAATGGCAAATTCCTTATCCAGCAGTTAGGGTTCTAATTCTATGATAACTGCAAAAATCAAGCATTTGTTGGTTGCCAAAGACTCTAAATTAAACCCCATGTTTCCAATTAGCTGCGACCTAATTTAGGGAATAAAAAACAGGGGGCTAGTGTTGTCCCCCATAGATCAGGGAACATACCCACCAAACAAATGCAAGTTCTATCAAGACATGCATGGTTCCCAAGTCCCATCTTGAATGATAGGTCCCAATTGAATCCAGAGATAACCTCTAACAACCCACCTTGGGTCCAACTGAGAATGCTTAAAAAGACTCTTCTGTTTATGACAAGCTTCTTACAGAGATATGTGTCCATGTGTTACAAGCAACAAACACAAGTAAAGTATATTGAAACTGTTATGCAACAATTAGTCAAGTTCACATTGTGTTTCCTCATAACCAAAACCTTGACTTACTTGACAAGGTTCTTCTCCCTTTAGTCCTACTCTTTTCCAAACCCAATTTGACCAATTTTGACCCAGGAGATGAAATCACAAGAATCAGTACCATCTTCAATAAAACCACAAATCTAAATAAATAAATAAATATATGACATATATATAACAAGTGTTTTGTACACACAGCTTTGTCAAGAATGTTCCACCATCAATATGCACTTAGTTGTACACACATCAGCCACCACAACTGGTGTGTAGCAGCAACATGAAAAGACAACTTCATGGGAGCTTTGACTTAGTGATAGACATGCATGGTTCCCAGTCTTTACATGAAAATTGAATTAGGGTTTTGGAACATCTCAAAGCAGCAAATTGTGACAGGGCAAAAGATGTTGTAACTGAACTGCCTCCCCAGTTTTGCAAAGGTTGTGCAACATCCCAAGTAAGTGTACCAGATGGTGGTGATGGTGGTGGTGGTGGTGGTACTGTGGGGGTTGGCCTTATCCACTTCTCTACTCTCCTGTCATGCTGGGCCTCACTTGTTGTTGTACCTCTTGGGGACTCACTTTTAGAAGTGGAAGGGAAAATGATTGGTGAGAAGGACTACAAACTTGTGTGTAGCATATTTTAGAGATCCTTACATTACATACAGTCTTTGAGTTGTTGGCTTCTCTTGTCAAGTACAATGGAGGTGTTTATATCCATTTTGGAAAATTGTAGTTTGGATGTCTTGTGAAGGTTTCTTATTTGGCAGAGAAATATCGTTTTTTTTTTTTTTTTTTTTTTTTGGGGGGGGGGGAGCTTTTTGTTTAGGAGTTACAGCAAAGTGCAAGGAACCATAAAATGGACCAAATCGTGTTTTGTAATTAAATTCAAACATGGCAGCTCACCTTTTGATTGTGACAATTTTAATATATATATATATATATATATATATATATATAGTTATACATATATATATTTAAGTTTTTAATTATTATTATTATTATGAATATTTTTAGGGCTTTTATTTGCACAATTTCCCAAATTTCTATAATATCCACCTTTTGAAAACAATTTAAATACAAACTTTTTGAGGGACAACACAATTCATGTCGTATGATAAAAAGTACACTCCAACTTCACCTTTTCCTATTACTACCTTTTTGTTACATTTTCCTACATGGAAGGGCAACCAAGGAAAACTGCTCAATGTCAACCAATCACAAGATGTGAAGATTGCACCCTCCCACCTGAGCAACAAAGACCCCCTTGAGTTAAGTGCCAACACACTCGACTGTCCTACATGTCAGTTTACCCATTTATCTGTGGTTTGCATAGACCCTGTCACTGAAAGACTGTAGACAAATCACATGGTTCAGAGTCCTCAGCTGTCCTGTGTGTGGTTCGATGATGTACACAGATACTGACCACAATAAGGGAGAATTGTCTGTAACCATTGAGGAGCAAATGAGCAGAGTCTTCAGAACTCACAGTGCTCTTGTGTATTCAGAACACCAACCTATATGAACAAGCAGGTTAATATAATTTGTCATCGAGGTTTTGGGTTTGTGAAGCATTCAGAAGGTCCGGGACTGTGGAATGCACTTGATCCAGGAGGAGAATGAGAAAGTGCTGTTTTCAACGGGTACAATTCAGCTGCACTAGTTTCTCTGCTTCCAGGCCTCTCAAAGCCCATGGGAGTCTCTGGCTCGAAGAGAGATTTATTCGTGAAGTGTGAGGTTGACCACCCGATCCATTCAGGGGATGGTACTTGTAATATCGTTTTCCCATATGGTTCCAAAATGCTTAATACATCCTGCACCACAAAAATTAACGTTAGAAATGAATCCCTGCAAACTGCTGTGGTTTTGTCCATCTTCTGTGGAGATGTAGCACACCTTCATTGTTGGTCGCAGGGTTCGATCATGTTGAGCGCAACGTAGTGCAAGATGTGCCATGTCTGTGTACAAGGCTTCATTGTAACCAATATCCAGCTTTCTGTCGATGATCGCCCTTATTCCTCCTTCATTGAAACGTGGTCGCGCCTGTGTATTAAAAGACGTATTTTTTCACACGATTTATTTCATTGTTGTCACAGCATTTTCTGAATCAGTAGAAGGAGCTAGAAAGGTTTGTTTTGAATGGAAGTTGAAAGACTTATCTAGAGCTGCTAAGTTTTACATTCTGCGGACTAGTTTTAAGAAAGGTCCACGTACCCATGCATCAAGACATGATGCGTCCAAACGTGTATAATCGATCACAGGTAACCCTGTAATAATCTCCAGTAGCACTATGCCGAAAGCGTAAACATCGCTAGCCGTAGTCAATTGATTAGTCCTGAAGTAATCAGGATCCAAATAACTGTATTCCTCGAAACATTCCAGTGAGGTTTGTCAGACTCGTCGATAGAGTGGATCCATGTTAGTACAAATCAAATGCGACATGCAGTTTGAGACAAGGTCAAGAACCACAGTTCTTTTAAAGAAGCTATGACTAGTTGCTAAGATTCGGTAGTCGGACGAGGTTAAGTGCAGAGTATACCCTCTAGTTCCAATAGGAGCAGTAGATACGTGTGTTGCATATTCTGCGGAAGCTCTTGACACACCAAAGTCTGAAAGTTTTGGCACCATAGAATGTGAGAGAAGCACATTTGATAGTTTGATGTCTCTGTGGATGACCGGTGGATCCTAAAAAATTAACACAACTTGTTAAGAGCGTTTTCAATCTTAAGACACCAGCAAAAGTGAAGAATTTGATATCTGCATCACATTATTATACTACGTTGAAGATGTTACATGATCAACTCTCTTGATAAGTATGAGAGAAATTCAATCTCTGCAAAACAAAAAGTGAGACATGGATATCTTTCCATTTAGCTTCCTCTTTTGAACTTCAGATTTTGACTCAGCATTTCAATTTAAAACCAGATAAAAATGAGAAAATATGCTGGGTTTGTGCCCAGAAGAGAACATAATGCCCGAATCCTCCGACACCCAAAGTCATACTCTACATTTTGCATACTCTTGACAACTTGCGACGTGGCTCCTAAAGTATCAGGTCGTAGTCATACCGCAAAAGAATGGAGATAGTCCAGTCCTCGTGCAACTCCAAGCACAACCTCAAGTCGTTGAATAGAATTCAATGGGAACTTCCCCTTCTTCCCTGATGTTTCATTAAAATAGTTTCAGAGATTCACCTTCTGATGACAGCTTATGGTAAAAGGTGTGGTGACCAGTGAACAGGATATTTGAGCACCAACAAAAAATTTCGACCCAGATGAAAGATGTTGATGTATGACATCGAACTTAAGTACTTAAAAGAAAAGACGAATTTGCAAACGAAAAGATTTCAGTGACTCAACCGAAAAGATTGTCATGAAGATCGCCATTTTCCATGAATTCGTAAACAAGGATCTGCAAAACATATTTCGTCGATCTGAGCAAATCTCAGCTTTCTAATATTACTTTCCTTTTTAGAGATAGTCCTCACAAACTCGATAAACTTATCATCATAAGAAAAAGCTGACACTCATGCGAGAAAACTACACTAGGAGTATAATGTAAGTTGATGAACAATTTGATGGCTACTGTAGAACATTAACACCAGATATACCAGTTTTTCGTCGCAACAACTCGATAAGCAAGGATTGACATCGTTCAAAACTTAAGGTTAGGTAGCATGCAAACCTGTAAACCATCATCATCGCAAAATCCTGTCAGAAACCCAAAATACTTGTGAGAATAAATTAAACCAGCATTACACTACTAAACGAAGAAAACGAGAGGCCTCCACAATGGCAAAGCAGAGGGTGTTAAAACGGAGAGAATAACTGAGACCACCAGTATGATACACCTGGAATTAAAGTAATTACGGTGAATAGTTTCCACCAAAGCTCGAAATTTAATTGCATTGCTTCTCGCTGTAACATCTTGGAGGGATAGAGAGAGAAACTGAGTGAGCAGAAAGACCTTCAAGCTTGACAAGATTGCGGTGGTGCAGGCGACTCAGCAAAGTGAGCTCATTTCGAAACTCTGTTTGTCCTTGAGCACTCTGCAGAGAAGCACATTTTATGGCCACAACTGTACCATCAAGGAGGACACCACGGTAAACTTTACCGAACCCACCCGACCCGGTGAAGCATTTCTCATCGAAGTTATTTGTTGCCTTCTCCAATTCCTGTAATTTAAACCTTCGCAATTCTTTTGGCACAATCCATGGCTCGTCGCTTCCTAACCAAAGAAATAAAAAAAGAAGGTACTAGATGAGTTTACCAATGGTAAGAATTGTGCATGAAAATGCATCTATATTCTGAATGCCAATTTATCTTCACTCTGTATTTATTCAACAGCTTGCTCAAAATTCGATGACTCAATTCCACTAGTTCGAATCATTAAAATCTCCAATTGTATTTCATTTCTTATTGATACAGAGTGATCTGTTGATGGCATCTTCACAAATCTCCATTCAATTAACGTAACAGCACACGATTCTCTACAGACCAAAATGGTCTCATTACCTTCATACGTCCTTCCAAACTCTGGATATAGAACTCTAGTGCTGTGCTTATAATATACCAGCATCAATAGCAGTGCAACGAGTATGGCACAAACCCCTCCAACAATGCCACCCACCACCGCCCCAACAGGAAACTTTTTTGAAGTGTTTGGCAGTTGTTCTTCTGTAGGTCACAAAAACTTAGATCAACAGATAAATTCAGGAATAGTCTTTGAATTTAGTCTCACCTTATTTATCACTATACCACTATTCTGACCAGGAATTACAAATACTATACCATATGAGTAACAGAAAAGGGTAATGCAGACGCCAATTCCAGCATTTGCGAAGTTTTCACGTGGAGAATTGTTTTGTGATGGTTAAAATGAAATCAGAAACACAATAGAAAGTGTACCTTTTCCGCAAATACACTTGCTAACGTCGATCCTAATCTGTCCCGATGGACAAGGGGCGCAGTTACCTGCAGAAGGTAATGTCAGGGAATGCAAGAAAAACCGTTGCTGAATTAACATTGGAATTCTCTAACTCAATCTTGGAGAAGACGTCTCATACGCCCTTTTATTTTGCATGTATCTTCATCTAATCGAATGAACTAGGATAGCAATTAAACATAGAAGCTCGGAAATGACGGGCTGAAGCATGAGCTTTGTACCAAGCCCTGGTTTTTAATGACACAGAATGAGCTCACCTTTTTCTTGCGCAACATATTGCAAGAAAGTACCGCAAGCCCACTGCCTTTCGCAATCTCGTGGCGTATTTTGCGTTACGTTGGGCAGACGATTGATTGTTGGATTCGTATCGGTCTCGTTGTCGAAGCAATTTGGAGTGTAGTTTCTGCAAAATCCATCAATCTGACCAAGGTTATCAATTACGGAAATTGATGTACTGAAATTTTGCATCAGAATTGCAACCGCCACTAAATTTATCTATAATTGAAGATTAAGAATCCGTGTCGGAAGATAAGCGTATGTTTCAATTTGCTACAAGAGGTTTAGAGTGTTCATACAGTACAAAACTAATTACAGTAGTGTTTCTCGATCTGAAAGAATTTGCTGGTCGTTTGAAATGCTCACTCACATTGTTATGTTGACACCAGGTGGTAAAGTATCGTAGTACTGTTGTGGATATTTGCCGGTGAAAAAGTTGCAGTTCAGTCCACTTCACAGAAATTGATTACCACAGTTGTCCCAATCAGCATGGATAACCGAGACTATTTATGCACGTCTCTGAATGCATTGAAAATGTCACTAATCTCCTGGCCATCACAAATTCTTGCCTTGAAGATTCACCAGCTCACTTTTAAGGAGCCATACAATACGCAAACGATGACTTTTTCTGATAGGAATCGACCTAATCATAAGAGTAAACTTACAGTTTTGTGAAATTCGAGATTCCATTTCGAAGTAGCGCTGTTATATTTGGAAATGGGCCCATGAATTGATTGCGAGGAAGGTTCCTATTGATTTCCAAGAAGGATTTCAAGGACATCATGCACATCATTGGGACAAACTATCAGTTAAAGTTAAAGATTACTACCTTCAAAACTGTTATCAAGCATGACTAAGCTTCGTCAAATCATATTGGGGGTCCGAACGACGTCGATAATTTCATGAGTACTGAGTATTGGATACTTCATCTTTCTTTGAAAAACAAGAGTTTATTAAAGCTAATTTTATTAGACCTTAACCATTTCGAAAGTAAATTGACATGATACGTACATGGTTCTCAAAGTTGGAAGTTCAAAAAGAAACCCTGGCAAAGTTCCCGAGAGATAGTTATGGCCTAATTTTCTGTCAATGTCACACCAAAGAAAACATGAAATCTATAATTTCCATAGCTTCATTACTGCATTCCTAGTATTCTAGAGACTATTCTATTTGTAGAAGGAGGTGCGGAGATTTTTGCATGCAGATGAACAACTAGTATTCTTCTGGTGGTTTTGTCTTGCAGAGTACCGAAAGAACATACTTACAAGTTTACAATACTTGTCATTCCTCGCCACTCATCAGGAATGTATCCAGACAGCTGATTTTCCCATAGTTCTCTACAACAAAAGTAAGCGCCAAGGGTTGAGGTACAAGGTGTTGAGTGATACTACTTAGAAACTTAAGCACTTGCATTGTATCATCCTGGACAGATCATTCTCACAGTAGGTAAAATCATGACTGTGCAGACTTCAGGTAGCTGAGTCCGTCTCCAAAATTTCCGAAGAATGACTTGATAGCTTCTTATTTAAAGAAAAGAAAAGGAAAAAACATCGAGTTCACTGACATACTCTAAAAATTATTGAACTTGACATTCATGCCATGTAATGGTTACTTACAGCGTTTGTAGGTTTTTGAGATTTCCATATTCGGGAGGAAGACCACCCCAGAGGTTATTAGTGTACAAATCCCTAGAGACACCATCACAACACATCACTTAAAAGTTCATACAAAGGCAGAAAAGTGGTTTTAGCAGACAGGTTGAGTGAAACTCACAATTTGACCAATTGCACCATCTGACCAATCCATGATGGAATCTTCCCATTAATTTGGTTCCCATGCATAGATCTGCGGAAACGATACAACATGACAAGGAGGTTTGAGGTTGGTTGTAAGGAAGATATGAGGGTCTTTGATTATAAATTCAGTAATTAAAAAGATTTACAAATCAGGAAAGTAGTACTTACAGTTCCGTAAGATTACAAAATAGGAGTTCTTGCGGTGGAAGAGAAGTCAAACTATTTCCATCGAGTGTGAGAACTTGGAGATTTGTAAGCTTCCCAATCTCTGTAGGTATTCCACCCTGGATGGAGTTGTTTGTAAGGTCCAACTGCTCCAAAAATACAAGTTGTCCGATCTCCTTTGGAATGGATCCGTAGAGACTCTTATTGACCAATCTCCTGCGAATCATACCAATGGTTAAATTGAGACCGAACTCCCTGGGTAGATCATCATGCATCATTCAAGAACAAGTTGCGACTAAATGTAGAGTCTATTGTAGCGATTGAAATAATCATTTATGATTTAATCTGAAGTAGTAAGGGTCATGTTCATTCCAAAGATATAAGTGATTGCAATCAGGTACTAATTTTTTTAAAAGTGTTGGAATTGACTAGTGGCGGAATTTCTGACTTGGCCAAAAAGTCCAAAACTACGGAGTTGTTGAACACTTCGACATACCAAATAATGCGCTAAATAACACTTACACGCTTATGACTTTGCTATTTGTTGCTTCGCAAGTGATGCCCGTCCAATTTCCGAGGCAAGGGTCATCAGTGAGGCTCCAGTCACTGAGGTTTGCATTCCAAGCTTTTCCCAAACTCCTCAGTGTTTTCCCTGCTTTTCGAAATAATCAGTTAACAGTTTCTAGAAAGAGGTAAGAAACTAAATGTAAAAACAAAAACATCGCGTGGCTAAACTAACATGACAATCGTTCATGTGCCCTAACAACGTTGTTCCAACTCGAAAAAGAGATTATGCCACTTCACTACAGACGTGATTATTCAAGTTCAGAAACTGAAATACGTTAGAATTAAGTTATAAATAAACCTTGCGTCAAAGCATCTTGCGCACAAACTAAGGTAGAAGTTGCAGAGAACACTACGATAGTCGCAAGCAGTGTCCACATCAACATCCGAGGTGATGCTGAAATTTGTCCATGAAACAATAATACTCCATGAACTGAAGTATGTCTACGCAATCTATTGGAAGAAGTGGCCCCCAATTTCATGGTCCCCGTGGAAGTGTTACGTAGACTTCGGGCATCCACCAACAGACTACCCTTCGAATCGTCGATACGCACGATTCAATATGATACTCAGATATCCTCTACTTCGGGTGCTGTCAAAAGCCAGCGCTGCACCAGGATCCTCTCTTCTTCTTGAATCGCAGTGCACCTGAGGAAATTTTTAAAAAGATCACAAATTACTTCCTGAGCCTAAGTTATTGCATGAAACATTTACAACACTTCAAAAGACACCAGATGCACAGCCCTGAACCATCATCACCGAAGCAAAGACCGAAGCTCCACATGATCCCCTCTCAACGCCGAATAGCTTCCACTCAACATATCGTGTCTAAAATCCTTCTAAATGTGAAATGATGTTCTTGAGTGTACACAAAACTTTCAGATATCATGAATCTATTGAAAAAGAATTCCTTCTTAAAACATCTCAATAAAAAAGGAATGCTTTGAATAGAAACAAAATCTAAATCTCTTGTTATTCAAGTATCAACTTCAACGTCGACAGCGTACTCCCCTACGTACTATTGGAGTAAGTACATACTTCCAAACGCTGTCCTTGTAAAACACTTCAATATGATCTGAAACGCTCTACGTGAAAGACTCGCTCATGATTCTTGTTCACGCTGCATGAATAACCTCGCAGAATCCACATCGGCATCTAAAACAAATCGAACAACCTCTCTTACCCGCTTTCAATGTCGAGTAGAACCACTTAGACCACAGAACTGTGGCTGGAAGTTTTCAAAATATGAAACAACGTTCTCAAGTGCACAGATAACTCCTCCCTATCACGGAACTCTAAACAAGGATCGATTTCGATCCACGTCCTCTGCGGGACTACATCGCGGCAGAGGATATACTCTACACACTCGCTCCCAGGTCGAAGAGGGATTCTGCTCGCGAGTACCGTCGACGTCATCATGCTACGCAAGCATATCAATCACTACGCAATAAGAAGTCCATACAAAACATGCTTTCCAACTCTACTCATCAGATTGACAACATACACTGCCAACACCGAGCCTCCCCAATGCCCAGCGTGAGCGCAACACAAAACAACCTCCACCATAACCTTGGTTTCAATCAACAAAGCTGTGTGCCAGCAGTTCAGACTCTCGACATCGAAGCTATACCTGACCAGCAAACAGACAAACCACCACCTGCTCTGACTTGGAGTCCTCCTCTATATCTCTCTCTCTCTCGCTCTCGCTCTGGATTCCTGACTATTTGTATGCTGCAACACTCATGCAGTCAAAACGAACATAGTGAGACTTACTGCTAGACTGAACGAGCACCTGCGATGGTACAATGGCCAACAAGCAACTTTCACAAATATCTGAACACGGGATCTCTCCCAAGAACCGCTTCTTGTTCATCATTTGCAAATAACTCCAAACTACGGAACAAAGAATGAGCTTGTGAAATTATGTTGGATAGTTTTCAACGCTCCTAACACTAGTCGGAAAAAAATAATCACAAAACAAGAGCCACGGTGTGGCAGTTTCTTCCTCATACCTCGGCGTTACACACGGTTTAGTCAAACTTGTTCTAGACAAGTCGCACAAAGTTTCGTGAAGCTCACGTTACTACGTCGCTAAGCACCGTGATTACAATGCAGTGGGATGCGAAACAAAATCCAGGGAGTATTCAGTTCGTGTTATTTATTTGTTTCCCAACCATCTAGATTCTCTCACATCACCTCAAAACCTCGGTTGGATTGCTGAGGCAACTGCACACCAATTCATGAAATATCACTCAAAAGCATGCTAACGCAACAATTGAGGACACTTTTGAACGGAAATTCACCGCCCTCGAAAGCCTCGCTGCAGAAATCAGCAGATATTCCGTGGGAATGCGTGTTGCCCATAACAGAGCAGTCAACTCATTCGGCACAGTGCAACCAAGTCGTGATTCCTCCTCTTCCTATACGCTGTGGGACTTAGGGACGGGGGGTGCACGAGCTTTTTCATCGGTACCTTGAAAACTTTACCACCACTTTTCCCACAATGTTTTCATTGTTCCCTATTGTTAATTAATATCATGCGTGGTAAGAAAAAGAATTGCTCGCTTTTGTCTTGGGGTACAAAGGTGGAAAATGTTGAAAAATGTACGCTTCTTACACACGATGTTTCCAAGTGATAAGGTGCTTCCCAGTGGTAAAGCAGGCATAGAGGTGTCGAGGATGTCAAAACACACGACATTCAATGAGACATTTTGTCATTTGTGCACTTCTGATATATAATAGTATAGGTGAAGACAAACCTATCTACAAAGCGAACAGTTACTGACGTGTTGTATAAGCGAAACTCAGTTATTGCAATCCACAAGATCTATACAACAAAGCTGAGACATATCACAGCCACCACTAAAAGAAGGCAATACAATCTCTGTGCCAGTGCCTCACAGCTGAGGCATATGTGAAAAGTTGAATTTATACAATGCGCAGCTGCATGAATTGTAAATATCTATTCCCTCTTCGCAATCAGTTTCCCTCACTTCCGACATTGGTAACATCTAAATCTAGACATGTTAAAATACATGAACTCGAACCTTGGTTTTAAACAAAGCAGGAGACATCTTGATAAGCAGGACCGAAGCATTCTCCAACTAGGACATAAGCATTTGACAACAAGCGTCGTCTACATCTCTTGAAACGACACCTTGGGTACAAATAAATTAGCCAACGCTTCCCTCCAGCTTCAAGCTCATCAATTGATTGACCTCAGCAGCAAACTCCAGAGGAAGCTCCTTAAAGACTTCCCTGCAGAACCCTCCAATAATAGCAGCAACAGCCTTCTCTGCGTCAATGCCTCGTTGCTGAAAATAAAAGAGCTGATCTTCACCAATCTTTGATGTACTTGCTTCGTGTTCAACTCGAGCAGATGGGTCTTTCACCTTACGGAACAGATAGCGCAAACTTTGATCAAATACAAATACATTCCATTACAAGAAATCAAATTTCTTGATAAGTTTCTTAATGAAGTGAATAGCGAGCTCAGGCAGACCTGAAATCCAGTATATACCGTAAATCTAGAATCTCACATGTACAAATGCATTCAAGGATAGCAACTCAACACAGAAATATTGTAGTAACCTAATGCTACTGTTAGCACAGGAGTAGGCACTTACCGTAATGTAAGGATAGGTATTAGCTCCAGCTTGATCTCCAATAAGCATTGAGTCACATTGTGAGAAATTTCTCGCGTTATGAGCTGAAGGTTGAACCTATGAAAATAAAAGAAGATTTCAGTTTCAATCTTCAACATAGTCTAATAGTGTCAAACACAGATAGTCAGAACACGTCACAGAAAAAGCTCCAATATACACTACACCCTAGGGTTACGCGTTAACTCATGATCATCGGTAAAATCAGAGTAAGAATCAGGGTACTTGGACACTAAGGGCTCTACTGCTTAAGCATAGAGATGGCATCATGAAGCTAGAGAACGAACTAATTCCAAATCAACAACCCCACACACCAAACTGATGACTGGAAACACGCAAACTTTCCAACGCTTCTCAAACTGGCTTTCAAGATGTATGTGAAACTAGTTTTTCTCAATCTTCACTCATCACGATAGAACTTTGTCAAAGGCTTGCATCACTTGAGATAGAGCATTGAGAAGGGTTTGAAACAGACCTGAACAAGGCCTCTGTAGCAATTGACTGAGTTCCCTGCGGAGATACCCTTTGACACAATCCGACTCCGAGTGTTCTTCCCAACATGTATCATTTTGGTACCAGTATCAGCCTGTTGCTTATTATTGGTCAGAGCAACTGAGTAGAATTCCCCAATTGAACCATCTCCCTTCAACACAACACTAGGGTATTTCCAGGTGATTGCTGATCCTGTTTCAACCTGTGTCCATGAAATTTTGGATTTTGCTCCATCGCACAACCCTCGCTTAGTGACGAAATTATAAATCCCTCCCTTGCCCTCCGAGTCACCAGCGTACCAATTCTGCACGGTAGAATACTTAATTTCTGCACCAGAAGCACAATATAGCTCCACCACTGCGGCGTGTAGCTGATTCTTGTCGTAAGCGGGAGCAGTACACCCCTCCAGGTAACTAACATATGCATTCTCGTCGCAGACAATGAGCGTCCTCTCAAATTGTCCTGTTTCCATTGCGTTGATTCTAAAATATGTAGAAATTTCCATTGGAGAGACTGTGTCCTTGGGGACGTAGCAGAAAGAGCCGTCACTAAACACTGCAGAATTCAAAGCTGCATAATAGTTGTCTGCCACAGGTACCACTTTGCCAAGGTGTTTCTTTACGAGGTCTGGATATTCCCGAATAGCTTCCGAGATGGAGCAAAAAATTACTCCTGCAGCCATGAGGGTTTTCCTGTGAGTGGTAGCAATTGAAACACTGTCGAAAACGGCATCCACGGCCACATTCGCAAGACGCTTTTGCTCACTCAACGGAATGCCTAGCTTGGCGAAAGTTTCAAGAAGGTCGGGATCCACCTCGTCAAGGCTCTGTTTCGTTTCCTTTTTCTTCGGCTCTGTGTAATAGCAGACGTCTTGGAAATCGATCTGAGGATACTTGTTGTCGGACCATGTAGGCTCCTTCATCTTCTGCCATTGCTTGAACGCATTCAACCGGAAATTCAACATCCACTCGGGCTCATTTTTCTTCGCTGAGATCAGCCTCACGGTGTTCTCTGACAAACCCTTGGGAATCGACACCGACTCGATGTCACTTACAAATCCATACTTGTAGTCCCTCTTCAGGAACTGCTGGATGGTGTCGTCACTTGAGCCCTTCACAGGTGACTCAAATACTGGAAACCACACATTTGTTGACCAACATTAGCTCCAACAAGTGACAAACAGGCGTACTTCCTAATTACACCTGACAACACAATATAGCCATTACAGGAAATACAATTCTATCATCTGCAACCATAAACCCCCTCTAAGGACAACGCCCTTCAATTGCAACCATCTTCGTCACACTTGACATCCTACGCATTCACCATAATAACCACGATACAAAAAAGAAAAAAGAAAAAAGAAAAACGCCACCTCCCATCAACACCTTATCCATTGGAAAAGGAAACACCACCCACCTGGACTAGCAGCCTCTTGAACCTCAGCTACAATTCCAACGGAACGACTCGACCGAGCCTGAAATCCAACAGGTTCAGGCCGCTTGGCCGCCACGCTCAACCTCCTCAGCCCACGACAAACGGGCAACGCATGCCCTCCTCCCATACCCACCACACACGCTGAGCTCGAAGTCGGCAACGAGGCACCACCATGCTTGCACTTGCACACAACGGCGGCGGCAGGGGTTGCAACCACCCCTATGTCCACCACCATCGCCATATCCTCCCTCCTCCCACACCCTCCAACTCTCTATCCCAAGAAAACCACTCAAAAAACACACACGGCCTAATTCAAAACCTCACACACAAATCCTCACAGAATTTCCAGCCTCGGAACGTGCTCGACACAGACGTTGCGTGAGAGAGAGATAACCAGAAATCTACAAAAACGGCCAGGTGCGTGACTGGAACAAGGAAAAAGACGATTGGAGTAAGAGAGAGAGATTCTGAAAGATGGAGCAGGCGAGGGAGCTGATTGGCGTCCAAGCTGGCAAGCAATGGGCCGGGCGCGGCGGCATCGTGAGGCCATCGATGTGCCCCATCCAAAAGCTCAGAATCCAACTCCCATCTCTGCTGGGGTGTGTGACGACCGCATGGCCTCGGTTGTTGCTCCCCACGAGATTCCCCTGCAAAAGAAAAGGAAAAAAACGGAAAAGGAAACAACAACACCACCAACAACATCAACACCATCATCAACAACAAGACTGTTGCCGTGACCACTCGACCGACGGAATCCTCTGGCTCCCCACGAAATCCGAAGGGTAGGGGGGGGGGTGTTTCTCTGTTGCCACCGTGGCCCCACGGACCACCGCCATTGGTTCAGCGTCGGTTGCAGGAATTCCCCGAATTATTATTATTCTATTTTGTTTTCCTTGTTAAAATATCTGTTGCGGTGTTGACAATAGAAATGGGCTTTTCGAAGAAAGATCTCTTGACGGCAACGACAGGATTGCATGGAAACACTCACTTCGGCTCTAGCGAAGTAATAACCGGTTAAGACCTACCTCTTTTACCTCACCAGGCCTCTGGGTATCAATAACATCTTCGGATAAGCTTGGAAGTGTTTCGTGCATGAGTTTGTTGGGATCTTTCTGAAAATATGAACTTTTTGGAAGCAAAAGCCTAGCTTTTTACTCGGAAAATGTACTATTTTGACATACTGCCGAAGAAGTTGCTCCAACTTGGGTATTTTGTAATGAGTTTCAGATTCAATTCATAAATTCTTGTTCTATTCAAAATCTTTTTATTTGAGATGTTTTAATAGATTATATCTATTCTGTTTTGTTAGTTGAAGTACAAAAATAATAGACTGTGGTTCAAAGAGAAACGCAAAGTTTTAAGCTAAAACACATTTTGTAAACTAAACAAGGTTTGAATCTAATAGAAAAAATTAAACCATTGGATTGCTTTGGAAATGTAACCATAGGATTGCTTTGGAAATGTAAAATAAAACTTATTTATAGAAATTTAACTAAAAGTTGCACTTAAAATAACCACACTAGTATTTATTGGATGTGTATATTATAAAACTAAATAAAAATTTGATGTTCAAATTGATTGAAAGCTAGCAAGCTAAATTTTAGTAAATAAAATTTGTATAACATAATAATAAATGAAAACTTTTATTTAATTTTTGTTGCATCGACTGTCCAACAAATGTAATAAACATGTGAATTCAAAAACATGATTGAGACTACGTGTGTTTTAAATTGAATTTTATGCTTTAAAAAATTGTATATATTTCAAAAAATAACATATTAATATATAATTTGTATCTGAATTTCTGATTCTCTTTTATTTTGTTTATTTTTTTCTTTTAATAAAATATTTGAAAAAAGAAAACACATCTATTTTCTTCGAGAATAACTATTTTTAGTATTTAAAAAATTATTCATTAGTGTATGCTTTTACTTATATCTTATTCGAAACTTATCAGATAGATTATTTCAAAAATATAAATAGATCATATGAAAATTAGAAAAGTTTGAAGGAGTAAAAAGTAAGAGAGGATTATAGAGCTCTTAACTTAAAATCACATAAAAAATAAATTAATATTTGATTTTTAATGGTTCAATAATATAAATAAAAATTGTAATATCAAAAAGCTAAGATAATCTATGTAGAATGAGTTTATTAATTTCATACAACTAATTGTAAAAAGTAGGAATTGAAGAATTTAAAATAAATAAATAAATAAATAAATAAATAATATTCATTAAAATATGTTTACAAAGAAAAAATATTTCAAGCATAAATGAGAAAAAAAAAACTTAAAAAGAGACAAAGTGTTGTGTCAAAAGAAATCAGAAAATAAGATTTATTTATTTTATTTTATTCATTTTTTTCTTTTTTTATTTGAATAACTTGGCACTTTGTTGTAATTTAATATATATATATATAAATACACATACACATACATATATGTACATATATATATTTTGTGAATAATTTTAATATATATTTAATATTATTTTATTTATTATATATTGAGTTTTAACCTATTTATGGATCTTAAGTTAATTATAATTAAAATTTATTTTTTATAAATTACCATATATGACGTATTTTATCTGGATTTTATGTTTTTGATAATAACTTATATGATATGTTATAATCTTATATTTCATAAAAAAATTATTTTATTCCAATAATACTTTAAAATAATTTAAAACTTCTTATGATTGGATTTAATTTTTTCAATCATATATATTTAATTTTATTATTTTAAAAATAAATAAAATAAATAAAATAAATAAAATAAATAAAATAAATAAAATAAATAAAATAAATAAAATAAATAAAATAAATAAAATAAATAATTTTTACTATATATATATGTATATACATATATTTATATAAATTTACTTTGATGAAATTATTTTTAATGGATGTTCTATTTGCTACATATATATATATATATATATATATATATATATATATATATATATATATATATATATATATATATATATATATATTTCTTAAAGTGATTTTTTCAAAAAATATTTTTTAAAAAATAGAAGATATTTTTTTAAACAAAATCTACCAAAATTATTAATTTTGTATGTTGATATCTTAATTTTCTTTGAAAAAATTGTACAAGCTATGTTTCATGATTTTTTTTTATTATAAATTAATTTATAATTAAATATAGCATTGTAAATCTCATTAATATATGTTAATTAATAGATTTTAAGAATAAAAAAGTTCTTTAGTTATTTAAATACAAAACTTTTAATATTAAAAAAATTATTTGATCATTTAAATATTTATTATGATTTAGAAGATTTCATGAGTTATAACAATCTTATTAAGAAAAAAGTCACAAAAATAGAATCCAAGTAAGTCTTTGCAAAAATTATCTTAGTTGATTTAATTATTTTCTCTTAATTGTGATAACTAGTATTTAGTTATTGAAATTAATGTCTAAATTGGACTTTCACACGCATGTATTACTTAATAGAAACTTATAAATATAAATCAATATATAGAAGAAGCATAAGAAAGTAATTCATGATTTTTTTTATTAATATATGTTATTAGATTTGTTAACAATTTATTTATATTATTTTAGGAATTTTCAAAATATATTTTAAAGAATTTAATAAAAATAATTTTACCACTATAAAAGGCCATTATAAAAAAAATAGAATAAGATTTAGAAGGTCCTAAATTTTTTTCAAGTTAATTAAATATTATTGTGTTAAAGTCAAAGACTTGATGAAAGAAAATAAATAAATAAATGAGACTTTTTTAAAGAAATATGATAAAATAGAAATAAAAAAGTATGTATTTTAAAAAAGAAATTAGAATGGCTATTGCCAAAAGATAAAGAAACTAAAGACTCTTGAAACTAGATTCTTGAAACTAGACTAGATGCAAGAAAGAAATTGACAAGAACAAAGAAGGCTTCATTCTTGCCTCTGTATATATTATCTACCTATGAGCTATGTAGTGACGTTCTATAGGACCTCCAAAATGTATTGAATTTGCACAACTTGCAAAGTAAATTTTCTAAATGGATGCCACATAGTTAGCTTCTTCCGCAAGCTACCAATCCGTGTGGCATGTAGTTAACTTGTTGACCAAATTTCTAACCTATTAATCAATTATAAATACATCTAAAGTCAAAGCAATATCTTTAAAGCTTCTAAAAGCTTTCTTAAAATATATTATGAAATTAATCTATTTTTATCTATTTCTATCTATGCATATTACTTAAGTAATAATTATAATAAATAAATGTCCATGACATTATCCACCCCTTTAAAGACAAATTCCACAAGGAGTAGTAATCACATGTTGAAGAAGTTAAAGATGCAGCAGATTGTATTTACAATGTACTTTGATCTTTGTTTCTTTTGAAGATAGTTGATAAATCGTCTCAACCATTGATAATATTCCATTTCAAAGCAAAAAGACCACCGTGTTATTTGATCATTGTTAAGACCTTTATAACTTTCTTTAAATAGAATATTTATAACACTATTGGAAATTATTCCCACTTCCAATAAAATCACCAAATATTGAGACTCCCTTCTCATGTTGTAATATCAAATGCATTGTATCTATTTGAGAAAAAATGTCATGCTTGAAGGTTGTGATAATCATAATGTCTCGTCCAATAAGTCAGCAAATGATGGCCTTTCAATTGAATCTGTTGAATGTTGATTTGTCATCTTTTTAATGCCTTAATTAATTAAAAATTACAAACAAGGATAGAAAGTAGAATGCAATCTTTCCTAAATCAAGTTTCTTTTATAACAAAAGTTTGCTATCTTTTATCTTGGTTTTGATGGATGTCATTGATGAAAAGCTTTGACCTTCTTTGTTGCATTTGTAAGATTTTTTATTAACTCCTATGTATGTTGGCTAATATTATATCCATGCCAATAAATAAGATATTCTAATCTAAGTAAATTTTACCTTAAATATAATACTTCTTTCACCTTGAATTCTTTATTATTATCCATTTCTATAGGAGGTAGTGGTATTCACTATCTTATATGGTTCCAAAAGAGACACATGAAATATGAGATGGATTTTCATAGACTCCGATAGATGTAATTGATAAGTAATATAATTGACTTATTCACAAATAGGAAGTAGTTTAAGTCTATAATAATCCAATTTGCCATAAGAATGAATAATTTTAATATTATGACAAAGTAACCATATCTTAACATCAACATGGAAATGAGGTTGTTCATTGCGATAAGCATCCGCATTATTCTTTTGTTGTTCTTGAGCCTCTTTTGGTTATGCCTTCATTATTGTATATTGTTCAAATAAATGATTTTTCAAATCTTCTATTGCAAGATTATCAACTTTTGAAAAATCAAAAGTACCAAGTCATGGATGATGACCATAATTAGTAAAAAAAAAGGTATTTTTATATAAGAAAATATATAATATTATTATAAGTAAATTCTATTAATAATAAAAAATTATC